AGCATCAATTCCAGTGAAAACAAGCATAAACATGTCATAAACCAATAACCCAACATTATGTAACCATCCCTCAACCATTCTAACCCAAATAATGCTTTACAAATCTCAAACGACATAAACAAGGCATAATTCACGTATAGTCCATATAGATCAACCGTAATGATTCTACGAACGTAAGATTAAAACCTACGAATATAACTATACGTTAGATGACCACGTACTCACCTCGAAATCGACGATTAAAGATTACCAAGGTAGTGTTAGCGGCAGGGGGAACGAACGGCGACTCCTTCCTTCTTCTTCCTTCTTCTTTCTTCCTCTTTCTTCCTTCTTCTTATGCGTTCCGTTCGGCGAGGGTGAGACACGAGAGAGAGACGAGTGAGAGTGGGGAGGGAGTTACGTAAATATGGTGGCGTGAGGGTTTTGGGACGTGTAGGGAGTATATTTATACTTTTGGGGTTTTGGCTCTGTATTAACTGAACGTACCTAGCCCAAACGCACTTTCCAGGCCCACTGGCTCTAAATCCAAACCTGATTTCACCGTTCGATTTGATTCGTCGAACCCTACACAACGGTATAATCTTTATTGTCAAACAAGGAATATTTATAATTTTCACCGAGGCCATCTCAGCAATTAATTTATTATTTCTAATTAATTAATCCTGATAGGCCAGGTCTTGGGGTGTTACATTTCTCTCCCCTTAAAAGAATTTCGTCCTTGAAATTTACCTAAGTCATTGGTTACTGAAGAGTTGAGGATACTGAGCTCTCATGGACTCCTCAGAGTTAACTGGCGTAAAAGAATTTACGGAGTTAACTGGCCATTAATCTCCAATTATTCGGGACAAATTTTAAATGGAGCGTAACGCAACGGACGTGTTAATGGCTAATTGATCACCATTAACACACCATTAGTGTGCCACAAATGTCATGATTAATACTAAGTTTTAATAGTGTATAGGTTACACTTTTTAAAATAACTTAGTTATAAAAATCAAAGGCCTCTCCATTTTTTCTTGTGTGCCTTACGTGAGAAAGAAAGAAAAGAAAGGGAAAAAAACTTTATTGTTTAATGTTGGGAAAATATTATAGATTTTGATGATGATGTATTTAGATTGTAGTAGGGACTTTAGGCCTCCCCCAATATTCAATGTAATTTTTCTTTTTAGAAATATTGTTAAAACTGAGTTCTTGAGATTTCCAATAAAATTGTGATATTTCTTTAAGTGGTTTGATGCTTGAAGACTTAATCAAATTCAGTGGTATGGAAATTGGATATCTTGATCGGAATTGTCAGAGAAGAGTAAGGATTTCTCAAAGCAGTTGAAGATCCTCTAATCCAGAATAATACATGATAACTGGATGTCTCGCTAAAACCTGCTGAAGGCTAAGTCATCCAAATCAGAAGACTAGCGCGGATCTCTTTCTCACCCGGAAGTCTGTGAATGACTCCTCCAGATTTGTCAGCAAAGAACCGGATGCCTCAAGAAAGACCAGAATTCCCAGAAGCGGACTAGTGAAAAAAGACTTAGAAAATTATCTAAGTCTTGAATGAAGAAATTCTACCCGTTGGTAAGGAAAAATTAATCTCTTGATTTTCAACAGGTAGATTGAAGATAATTATGCTGATTCAAGAACAAATGACTTGAAGACAAAGTCTGGACCTCTCAAATTAAAGAGCTCATCCAGAATTCCCAAACAAGCACTAGAAGACAAACTGAGTAAAGAGCTACAGTCTAGAATTCTTGAACAACAGCTAGAAGACGGATTCTGTGGAAAAAGGAATCCCTCCTCAAACAAATTGGGTATGTCCAAACACTCATTCCAATGAGGAATCCTCAATCACAATCTTCATTCAAAATTGCAGCTAGCAAATGCAATGGATAGTCCATTTTGACTCAACGGATAGATTATCCAATCCAGCTATAAATAGCAACCTTGGAAGACTGGAGAAGAGAGACGAACACAACGAAGCAATCTCTAACAACAAAGCTATCTCACTCACAGTTAGCCCAAAAAGCTTGATAAAGAAAGATTTCTAAACTCTTTATCTAGAAGCAAACTTCTCCTCCTTCTAAAGAGCTATAGTGTGAACGCTTGAAGGTTTCCTTGCCTCAAGTACCACACCACGTTGAAGGATATAACTTTTAATCAAACTTCTTGTTTAAAAGGGGGTAGATCAACTTTCTTACAAGTTGATCTTGTAAGTCCTATTGTTCGGATCTTGCAGTTGTTGAAGAAGCGTGACCTTCGAAGGAACAACAAAACCAGCACGAGTGTAGTAGCAACATTGGCCTTGTGAAGATATACCGTGCAGAAATTCACACAAGTGTAATTGTTGGTTCATTATTCAACAACCAACTACATAATGGATTTTGAGGACGTAGAAGGATTACCCCACCTTCGAACCTCGTTAAACTTTGCGTGTCTCTCTCTTTACTTATACTTGCAATTATATTAACTGTGAAAACTAACCCATCCATATTGATTACTGCTCCCTACCCACCAAATTCCGCGCACAATCTAAAGTTCACAAGAACTCTAGATTAACACTCATTTTTACGTTTTCAAAAGAAACGAAAAAGTTTTAAATCTATAACAAAGTCTATTCACCCCCCCTCTAGACTTTGTATCTCACCACTTTGGGACCACCAATTGGTATCAGAGCTAACTTCTCACTATCTACGTTTAGATTAACGAGAAGCGATCATAATGGTGAACAATATAATATGGATCACGGTTTGCCCAAGTTTTCTCTTCTAGGTTATGATGATTGGAAGATCATGATGGAAGCACACCTCTACACCCTACATGATTGCATGTGGATGGTGCTTGAGGATGGACCCTTGAAAATCCAAATGGAGAATCCTAAGAGGAATCCAGCCACTCCAGATGTAGTCTAGTACATTCCAAAGCCCAAGGAAAAAAGGGATGATAGAGATTGCAAAAAGAACAATCTGGACAACGTCGCCAAAGCAGCCATCTTCAAGACACTTGATCCCATCACCTTCTCCAAGATCAAGCATCTCAAGACTGCCATGGAGATATGGCAAGGTCTTGGGAAGCTATGTGAGGGATCAGAGGACCTGAGAAAGCAGAAGATAGAAGTTCTGCTTGAGAAGTTCAAAAGCTTCAAAATGCTTCCCAGAGAATCATTTGATATGTTGGATGAAAGGTTCCACAAAATTTTGAATGATCTTGCATCA